GTATCTGTGTCTGTCCACAAACATTATCCATCAGCTGGTCCTATGTAGCTGACTGCAAACAATACTTGGCAAAAGAGATGACTCAAGCCCCTTTAGATCACTCCCATAGACCTGGAATAGTAACACATTGATGACAAGGATAATTATGCAGCCCACACTGAATTTGACTGGTGCCAAGCGTCGGAAGAAATCGGAAATGTTGAGTGTGTGTGGGTGAGGTGGGTGCACGTGGTTGTACATGTGTGGTTATGTGTGTTATGTGGTAGGGGCAGTGACACAATGTGCAACTACACAGAGTAGTTCCCGTATGAATAGACATATGGGTGAATTGTGTTCTGCGCGTTTTGGAACAGTGCCGGCGACGGCCCTCCAATATTAAATTGTCTCCATGATAGAACTGAAAATGATGCTTAAAGAAGCGTAAAACAACATTCACTTTATGTTTAAAAAATTATGTTTCAGAACCTCATTAAGGATCATCTTAATAATCAACACTAATTAAACCCTTTTCTTTTCAGGACAAATATGATTTTGCTGTCTGTGGGCTGCCTCCGGAATCTGTTGTTATTGCGCACCCCCCCCCCCCCCCCCCCCCCCCCCCCACACACACACACACACACACACACACACCCCACCCCCCACCCCCACCCACCCACCCCCCACCCCCACACACACCCCCACAACCATATTAAAAGACTGATTATATTATCCTTAAAGCGGTGTTACATGAGTATTGATGAGACGCGTCAGTCAGTTATAACGGTGTTACATGAGTATTGATGAGACGAGTCAGTCAGTTATAACAGTGTTACATGAGTATTGATGAGACGAGTCTGTCAGTTATAACGGTGTTACATGAGTATTGATGAGACGAGTCTGTCAGTTATAACGGTGTAACATGAGTATTGATGAGACGAGTCTGTCAGTTATAACAGTGTTACATGAGTACATGTATTGATGAGACGCGTTAGTCAGTTACAACGGTGTTACATGAGTATTGATGAGACGAGTCAGTCAGTTATAACAGTGTTACATGAGTATTGATAAGACGCCTCAGTCAGTTACAACGGTGTTACATGAGTATTGATAAGACGCGTCAGTCAGTAAAACGGTGTTACATGAGTATTGATGTGACGAGTCTCAGTTATAACGGTGTTACATGAGTATTGATGAGACGAGTCAGTCAGTTATAACGGTTTTACATGAGTTTTGATGAGACGAGTCAGTCAGTCACAGCAGTAACACCTGTCTGATGGCAGTTTACATGTGTAACAATCAATATGTAATCGAAATGCATATATCGATAGTACCTAAACCTTTTTTTTCTTTTGCCCTTATCCTATAATATTTGTATGTACATGTGTCTACCATGTTGTTACACCTTTCTTCCTAGATTAAACGTCTCTATTTTGTAGGTTTTCTTCATGAGTTTCCCTTTTTGTACTATTGAATGTTCTCTGTGAACCTTGTTTATAAAGTGTCCGTAATCGTTTTGATCAATGTCAGTATTTTACAAATTCACTTCTTTTTTGTTTTCAAGTTGCCCCGTCACACAACATATCGGTGATTATTTTGACGAAATTCCAACTATCAATGGAGCCTGTACTTTGACATATTGAAGTTAAAGCCTTGTGAACTCATTTGCGTTTATCATATTTAGTTCCAATGTGAATGTCGCATGATACCTCGCATGTCCAGTACCCGCAGTTTTCATTCTAACGCCTCATCTGTGGCTAATGTTCAATTATGGTGTTTTAAATGGTTAACCAATGCCCCATATAGTTTGTCAGCTGACGAGCAGTGTATGGATGTAACCTGATTATCCAGTGATTTCTCACACCCGTTATGTGTCATCATTCCAATCAATCGATAGCGTGGACGTTTATGAATTTGTCGCTCACATTTTGTAACACCCATTTGCTAAGACCAAGAGATGTTATTCTTGATGTTTTAATTATATGTTGTGCAACTATTTCAGTGCTATGATGATAAATGCATGTTAGAATTGCAGTGTTTGTTCCATGTCTTAGTGCACCTAAATACTGTCAACTACTACAAAACAGTTATTAAAAAAAGATAATAAGTAATTGAAGTGATTTCTATTGGCTAACAGGAACATACTTGCTGGTGTACACGCAAATAATGATTCATTATCATCAAGGTTTTGGAGAGAGTAAAGGTTTTCATTTAGTCTTACCAAATAGCCGTCAGAATATCATTTGGTGTTTTCATGGTAATAAATGCCATCACAGCAAATAAGTGTACCGGATACCTTCAGCAACCTTCAATTTTCTTGGTACTTTTCGGATATGTTTTTATGTCTTTCACACTAATTTGAACAAAATGCACCGCCAAGAGCTTGACAAATTTTTTGGAAGGTTTCCGGAATGTATCCGGGCTGGATTCAAAGTGGGAACGTATGCAGAAGGTTTCTTTACACCGTGTTCTCTGTGCTTACTCGAAAATAGGCCCTGATATGTCAAGTATACAATATGTTGTACCTGAAATATCACCACACCTTTACGGCATCGCTGATTGGTTACTCATCAAATACTGGCGGAGTTGGTAGATAACTGGGTTACCCTCACACAATACAATGTAACAACATCAAACGAAGTCAGAAGTAATAGCAACATTTTATTTGCATAGTGATACAATGTAGAATAATGTTGACACGAAGAGGTACCGACATTAGTGGTCTGATTGAAACGTTTTGTCATACATCTTGAAATGATGACCTTGATTAAATACCAGTACCAAAATGATTTCATGCAGATGTGCCCTTCACACTGAGGGGCATGTTCGTCTGCCATTGGATAAAACATTCGACAGTGAATACAAAATATCAGCGAGCCATCGCGGGACTTGGGTACTCTGCCTCTTCGTGCGCGATATCTCGCTGATATTTTGTACTCACAACATGGTGTCATCATGAAATTATCACGTAATACCCAACAGACATTTTACATACATATGAACCAACATCTAACGATAACTTTTCTCATGTCATTCAAAACTATATGTCTTTTAGGACGAGAAGGATATCTACTTTGTAGATAAATGTATTCCAACAATCGTTTATCTTGAATATTTCAGGTTTACCCCTGTTTACGTATATGTAGGTCTTTCTTTCTTTAGGATTTGATTGAAAACAAATGGTCATTTAAAACGTCTTTGACCGGCAAATAGCTAGAAAGCCTCCAATGCATAAAGTGAAAGGTACATTTAGTGTGTAGTGTTGCGTTACACCTTAGTGAAAGAATCTTCATGTTACACATGAACCATAGTACATGTTAAAAATGTCAAATTGGCTGAAGTTTTAGTGGATCTTAGTTCCAGCCCAAAGGAACAAAGAAGAAGGATTCTTTATATATGAGTTTCCATAAAGAGAAAGTTCGTTCGGAATTAATATAAGAACTAGCTGAATTTACTATTAGTAGAAATATAATCAGGGCGAATGTATGTCGTGATTCAAACCCACGCTCTGAGGTTTCAGATAAGGGACGAAACTCTGCCCTGCGAATTACGACGCCTCAGACGAGTTGACGGGTTGACGAATGTTGCTGGTTATACGTGCACATTGCCTTACCCAAAAATACATTAATGCGAGGAATGTCTCTCTTTAAATATTACCAGTTGCATGATTCAACATCACGATGAGGATTTTGAAATGATAATGGAAAACTGGCTTTGGAAGTATTCTCCTGCATTGATTCGTGACAGTGTTTTTGTGTCCTTCAACGTCATTCGACATGTCAAACATCACCGCCTTTCAACCTGACACCGACAGTGTGTTCTCTATGCTCTCAAAGTGTTCTGAAAGAGAAGTTTTCAGTCATAAAGCCATATTGTCTAAACATCTTGAATGTCAGGTATCAGGTCCACACGCTCGCTGTCTTGATAGTGCTACTCTAAAAAATAACCCTCAACAGTGTTCAGAACAGATTGTTAAACATCCGGGTATGGTTATATTGCCCACTGTGGAACAACAATGCCCCGTTGATATCTGTCCCTCATTTCACAACCTGGCTTTTTTATTAAACCGTACGTGCAAACACACAGGTACGTATTTGTCATGGCTCGTTAATCGGGCAATGTCAACTTGAGATCTTGCAACATCGCATGGTTTTATGCATAATGACCTACAAGCCTCAACCCTGAAGGTCAAGATGACATAAAACGAACTAAAGAATGACTTACGAAAGACTTCACGAACACCCGGAGTCATCACTGATTTTCAATGATCCATTCAGAATATTTTTATCACTATTGTGCCTATTACGTGAAATGGATAATCGACACTGATAATTCTCTGACGATGACGTTTTAAATATATATTTACATTACATTAAGCATTGGTTTAGGTTACAATTGCAAATTAGAAATAATTATTGCAGACAAACATGAAAAGTAAAGATGCACACATTTATGTCAAATATTGAAATACATGTGAGGTAAATGATGACGTTCTCAATGTCACAAATTGGGAAAAGATTTAGTTTGCAAAATACAATGTGAAGTGTAAATTTGATTGAGTAAAGATGGTAGATAATTGACTGAATCAGACTGCATAATTTTATAACCTTACCTTAAGCTTACCACCTTTTATTTAATCAAAATGACTCTAGCCTATGTGATTATAATAAGACTGAACACTTATTTTGTGTTGCAAATGGAAACGTATCACCTCCATACTTCTTGGTGAAATTGACTAGGTCTAACACTATATACGCTTACAGGATTAGCATGTTCATCATTGTATATATACATTTAATTATTTTAATTTATTCAGTATATCTCTTTTTCTAAAACGTTTTGAGATAAATATTAATAAAATGCACTTTAGGTGGGTCCCTTGACTTCTAGGAATTGGCTACCTGGACGTTTTCTGTGAAAAAAACTCTCATACCTGTTACACAAGTTTCCTGGGTTACATCCTGGTAGGTGAGGCTGGGCGTCTTTCGTGCCTACTGAACCGTCACATAGTTTTAACAGGGTATCTCCAGGGATATCGCCGTTAGTCGCTCTGTTGACATCAACAAATCTAACGAATCTAACCAAATCTCAGTGGGTCATCGTTCCAAAACACCCACGATCTCCATCTACTCATCAACTAAGAGGTTTCAAATCCGGGTAACAGAAAATCAGGAAGAGTTTCTTGGAACATCCGGCGGGTGTTTCGTGGTGTTCAGGGTACGTTGCAATATTACTTATAAAAGGCATTGTAAACTATTCTTGGTGAAAAATAACTTACAACGGTCAGACTCGTGAATTTTAATCATTTGATCTTCATGCGTTACAGGGTAATTGGTTGGTTGGTTGGTTTGTTGTTTAACGCCGCACTCAGCAATATTCCAGCTATATAACGGCAGTCTGTAAATAATCGAGTCTGCAGCAGATTAATATCATGAGTATCAATCCACGCAATTGGAATCGATGACATGCATCAACCAAGTCAGCGAGCCTGACCACCCGATCCCTTTAGTCGCCTTTTATGACAAGCATTGTCACCTTTTACGGCAAGCATGAGTTGCTGAAGACCTATTCTCCCCCGTACAGGGTAATTACTATTATTCATTAGGTTATGCAAAAACCGATTTTAATTGGTAATTAACCACCCGACAGTTTATATGAACAATTATTGCCATGTTTAAAGGGACAACATAAGTCAGAATTAATATTCATTTAAACTATTGGCTCAATAGTTGTCTGTATATTCCTTTCCGCCCTACACAGGTATAATGCAATCTACTTGTCAATGTGGGTAACGTGGAAAAAAAGAAGTTTTTTCCCCTTCAGCACATAACAGGGGGATGTGTGTCACTGTACAGATGGTATGCCATTATACATAATTCATGGTTTGGTTTGCATTTAATATTCTTATAAGTCGTTTATATTTCACCAATGGAACAAATATACAAACAAAATACATGTATTATTATGCAGTGCCTTACGAATCTATTGCTGCGGATTAAACGGTGAAAACACGTTATGCTCCTCATGAAGGAATAAGAACATGCAACGGGGGGCAGAACCTAAAGAGATGGATTTCTCGTATCTAACTGTCACATAGTTTTTGTACTCTTAATAAATGAAATGCGCTATGCCTTGAGATAATGTCATCCATGACATAAATCTATGACATAAAACAATGACCAAGGGGCTTTTTTGGTGCACAGTGGTTAACCCAAACAACGGAACAGCATGGATGCATTTGATCATTGGAGACAACATTTACAAGATACAAAGGGAGTGATACAGTGTTGCCAGATTGCTATGAAAGGTTACCAGATGGCTACAGACTGATGGCCAATGTCACTGATACAGTGTTGCCAGATTGCTATGAAAGGTTACCAGATGGCTACAGACTGATGGCCTATGTCACTGATACAGTGTTGCCAGATAGCTATGAAAGGTTACCAGATGGCTACATACTGATGGCCAATGTCACTGATACAGTGTTGCTAGGTTGCTATGAAAGGTTACCAGATGGCTACAGACTGATTGCCAATGTCACTGATACAGTGTTGCTAGATTGCTATGAAAGGTTACCTGATGGCTACAAACTGATGGTCAATGTCACTGTTACAGTGTTGCTAGATTGCTATGAAAGATTACCAGATGGCTACAGACTGATGGTCAATGTCACTGACACAGTGTTGCTAGATTGCAATGAAAGGTTACAAGATGGCTACAGACTGATGGCCAATGTCACTGATACAGTGTTGCTAGATTGCTATGAAAGATTACCAGATGGCTACAGACTGATGGTCAATGTCACTGACACAGTGTTGCTGGATTGCAATGAAAGGTTACCAGATGGCTACAGACTGATGGCCAATGTCACTGATACAGTGTTGCTAGATTGCTATGAAAGGTTACCAGACGGCTACAAACTGATGGCCAATGTCACTGATACAGTGTTGCTAGATTGCTATGAAAGGTTACCAGACGGCTACAAACTGATGGCCAATGTCACTGATACAGTGTTGCTAGCTTGTTATGAAATGTTACCAGATGGCTACAGACTGGTGGTCAATGTCACTGACACAGTGTTGCTAGATTGCTATGAAAGGTTACCAGAAGGCTACAGCCTGATGGCCAATGTCACTGATACAGTGTTTCTAGATTGCTATGAAAGGTTACCAGATGGCTACAGCCTGATGGCCAATGTCACTGATACAGTGTTTCTAGATTGCTATGAAAGGTTACAAGATGGCTACAGACTGATGGCCTATGTCACTGATACAGTGTTGCCAGATAGCTATGAAAGGTTACCAGATGGCTACATACTGATGGCCAATGTCACTGATACAGTGTTGCTAGGTTGCTATGAAAGGTTACCAGATGGCTACAGACTGATTGCCAATGTCACTGATACAGTGTTGCTAGATTGCTATGAAAGGTTACCTGATGGCTACAAACTGATGGTCAATGTCACTGTTACAGTGTTGCTAGATTGCTATGAAAGGTTACCAGACGGCTACAAACTGATGGCCAATGTCACTGATACAGTGTTGCTAGCTTGTTATGAAATGTTACCAGATGGCTACAGACTGGTGGTCAATGTCACTGACACAGTGTTGCTAGATTGCTATGAAAGGTTACCAGAAGGCTACAGCCTGATGGCCAATGTCACTGATACAGTGTTTCTAGATTGCTATGAAAGGTTACAAGATGGCTACAGACTGATGGCCTATGTCACTGATACAGTGTTGCTAGGTTGCTATGAAAGGTTACCTGATGGCTACAAACTGATGGTCAATGTCACTGTTACAGTGTTGCTAGATTGCTATGAAAGGTTACCAGACGGCTACAAACTGATGGCCAATGTCACTGATACAGTGTTGCTAGCTTGTTATGAAATGTTACCAGATGGCTACAGACTGGTGGTCAATGTCACTGATACAGTGTTGCTAGATTGCTATGAAAGGTTACCTGATGGCTACAAACTGATGGTCAATGTCACTGATACAGTGTTGCTAGCTTGTTATGAAAGGTTACCTGATGGCTACAGACTGATGGCCAATGTCACTGATACAGTGTTGCTAGGTTGCTATGAAAGGTTACCAGATGGCTACAAACTGATTGCCAATGTCACTGATACAGTGTTGCTAGATTGCTATGAAAGGTTACCTGATGGCTACAAACTGATGGTCAATGTCACTGTTACAGTGTTGCTAGATTGCTATGAAAGATTACCAGATGGCTACAGACTGATGGTCAATGTCACTGATACAGTGTTTCTAGATTGCTATGAAAGGTTACCTGATGGCTACAAACTGATGGTCAATGTCACTGTTACAGTGTTGCTAGATTGCTATGAAATGTTACCTGATGGCTACAGATTGATGTCAATGTCACCGATACAATCTGAAAATAACATGCCCATAACCAATTTCTGAAAATGATGACGAGCATTTTTACATCGGCTCACACTTTCAGCCTACCTAATTCTCCGACCAATGGTTTATCGGAAATGTTACTAAGAAAGTCAACCGTCCACAATCATGGGACATGTGTAAAACAGCCAGGTTCTACACGTGAAAAGACTTGGCGCGTACAAATGTTGAATGACAAAAATGTTCCACCAAATGAAAACCGCAGATAACTGGTTACTAGAACAACCATTTTGTGAACAATTACTGCCTCATAAATCCTGATAAGCACAAACATATATCCCAAATAATAACAGGAAGCATTCCATCAAACACATTGAACACAGTAACTACCCAGCTTAATTTGTTCTTGAATCTCCCGTCATAACAGCGGCCTATGCAAGCACAATGTTCTAATTGCCAGGAGGCAACAGTCGGCAATTTAATATGCTTTCTTTTTTTCTGGTGGCGTCAGCACTACGTTTGCTGGTTGCGTAACTTTCCAACATAAGATATTAATCTTGTTATACCCCCGAGTCCAGTTCCAGTCAAAAGACACTTCAATTGTGACAGTGACACCAACTTGAATGTACTGATGTGACCTATCCACCCGTGTGACTTTCTACAAGTGAGAGCGAGGCTTGGATCGAATGACTAAAGTTGTGATATACCACAGATATAATCAAATACAACAGAATTAATCGTTATGGTTGTTATTACAGGGAACCAGTGTCAAATAGGCTACAAGACATCGTGCAATAATGTTTTTTAGGGATTAGTTCGAGGAACTTATTTCTCAAATTGATTTTCAAAAGAAGTTATAGGTTTATTTGTTTTACTTCACATTGCCAAGGAATATAAGTATCTCTTAGCATAATGTTCCGTCAAATTTAAAAAAATTGGGTATGTGATTCTCAATGTAGAACACTTTAAGATGGTAGTTATAAATTAAATTCATCACCTCTGTAAAAACACCAACCTGGTCCCGTTAATCGGTATTTGACTTGCCTAGGACTTGGCAAATACCGATCAACTGAGACTCAATTGATATTTCCCACATTGAAAAGATCCACTGGTGATGAATCCTCTATGTCGACTTTAGAAGATTCCCCACGCTCAATTGTATTGTTCAGTTATATGCGAACATTACGCAAGAACTGTTGTTCGTGAGCACATGAGAATCTGGACCGGCTGCGGATATTCACGACAGACTGAGACTTATATGTTCAATATTCAATACTGAAGATCAGCGCCACCTTATGCAAACACCCGAGATGTTGTTTATTCATCTTTTGACAACTAACCACAATACGAATACGCGACATAAATTCACGCCCGACTTACCCTATGCAGTTTTAATCTTCAATCACAATCACAATCTGAGAGGAGGAAAATGCTACAGAGAACTAGTTGACAGGTTGCGCAAGAGACGAAAAACAAGGAAACAAGTAACAATTAATTTATTTCACGATTTGAGGAAAACGTCAACACAGTACTGCACTAACTATGCTTCCCACATATAGTGTAGACACCCTGCTAGCACAGTGACCACGCGTTACAGTTTGCATGTGTCTGTGTCAAAGTTTCTAGTTTGAGTGGGGATCAAATTTCGGTTGGTTACCGTCGTTAATGTTCTGATGGAATTGTGCCTCACATAGATTATTGGTTTTGATGTTTGAAACAAACAACGTTATAGAGTTATTAATCATAACAAAACTGCGCATGTTCTGCCCCTAAAGTGGTAGACTCCCTGGTGCAGCAGGACCACAGATGACTGCTGTGTGCAACAACGACATAAACTAAGTTATGGCAGGA